TTTGCAATTCAGTTTTTAATTTCCATTGGATGATTTTGAGCATGACCTTGCTAGTGTGTAGAATGAGTGCAACTGTACAGTAGTTTGAGCATTCTTTGGCACTGCCCTTCTTTGGGTTTGGGATGTAGACTGATCTTTTCCAGTCCTCTTGTCAATGCTCAGTTTTTCAACATTGTTGGCATATTCAGAGTAGCAACTTAACAGTGTCATCTTTTAAGATTTTAAATAGTTCAGCTGGAAAGCCATGCCTCCTAAGGCCCACTTGACTTCACTCTCCAGTATGTCTAGCTCAAGAGGAAGCAGAGGGAAGGGCGTCTGCTGCAGGGGAATGAGCAGTCACCCAGACGAGATGGCGGAGGAAAATGCATTGCTTCAGGTGAATGGGTGGTTGTCTAGACTAGGCAGGGAAGGGAAGCATGCTGCTGCAGGTAAATGGGGTGAACCATGGTTCTTGACCATCTCTAGTCATAGTCCAGCACTCTGGACCACTTTGGTTCTCATGTACATTTAAGATTTTAAATAGTTCAGCTGGAAAGCCATGCCTCCTTAGGCCCACTTGACTTCACTCTCCAGTAGATCTGGCTCAAGGTCAGCAACCGTACTCACTAGGTCATGCAGGACATCCAGATCTTTCTGGTATAATTCCTCTCTGTATTCCTGCTACCTCTTCTTGGTGTCTTCTGCTTCTGTTGTTGTTTAGTCATTTAGGCGTGTCTGACTCTTCATGACCCCATGGACCAGAGTACGCCAGGCCCTCCTGTCCTCCACTGCCTCCTGGAGTTCGGTAAAATTCATTGTCCAGCCATCTCATCCTCTGTCATCCACTATTCCTCCTGCCTTCACACTTTCCCAACATCAAGGTCTTTTACAGGGAGCCTTCTCTTCTCATGAGATGGCCAAAGTATTCAGGATCTGTCCGTCCAGTGGGCACTCAGGGTTGATTTCCTTTAGAATTGATAAGTTTGTTCTCCTTGCAGGGCAGGGCACTCTCAAGAGTTGCCTCCAGCACCACAATTCAAAAGCATCAATTCTTTGGCGGTCAGCTTTCTTTATGGTCCAGCTCTCACTTCCATACATCACTATAGGAAAAACCATAGCTTTGACTATTCGGACTCTGGTTGGCAAGGTGATGTCTCTGATTTTTAAGATGCTGTCAAGGGTTGTCATCGCTTTCCTCCAAAGAAGCAGGTGTCTTTAATTTTGTGGCTGCTGTCACCATCTGCAGTGATCATGGAGCCCAAGAAAGTGAAAGCGATCACTGCCTCCATATCTTCCCCTTCTGTTTGCCAGGAGATGATGGGACCAGTGGCCATGATCTTAGTTTTTTTGATGTTGAGCTTCAGACCATTTTTTGAGCTCTCCTGTTTCTCCGTCATTACAAGGTTCCTTAATTCTTCCTCACTTTCTGTCATCAGAGTGGTATCATCTGCATATCGGAGTTTGTTGATATTCTTCCAGCAATGTTAATTCCAGCTTGAGATTCCTCCATTCCAGACTTTCGCATGATGTATTCTGCATATAATTTAAAAAAGCAGGGGGACAATATACAGCCTTGTCATACTCCTTTCCCGATTTTGAACCAATCAGTTGTTCCATATCCAGTTCTAATTGTTGCTTTCTGTCCCACGTATCTGTTTCTCAGGAGGTAGATAAGGTGATCAGGCACTCCTTTTTTTTAAGTACTTGCCATAGTTTGCTGTGGTCCACACAGTCAAAGGCTTTTGCGTAGCCAATGAAGCAGAAGTAGATGTTTTTTCTGGAACTCTGGCTTTCTCCATAATTCAGCGCATGTTAGCAATTCGGCCTCTAGTTCCTCTCCTTCTGTTAGGTCCGTACAATTTTTGTCCTTTATCATGTCCATCTTTGCCCAAAATATTCCTTTAATATCTCCTATTACTTGAACTGATCTCTGGTTTTTCCCTTTTCTATTATTTTCCTCTCTTTCTTTGCATTTTTCATTTAAGAAGGCCCTCCTGTCTCTCCTTGCTATTCTTTCGAAGTCAGCATTTAATTTTCTGTAACTTTCCCTATCTCCCTTGCATTTTGTTTCCCTTCTCTTCTCTGCTATTTGTAAGGACTCGTTTGCTTTCCTGTATTTCCTTTTCCTTGGGATGGTTTTTGTTGCTGCGTCCTGTACAATATTACAAGTCTCTATTCACAGTTCTTCAGGAACTAGATTTAGTTCCTTAAATCTATTCTTCGCTTCCACGGTGTATTCGTAAGGGATTTGGTTTAGATTATCTCTGACTAGGTCAGTGATTTTCCCTACAATCTTCAGTTTAAGCTTGAGTTTTGCTATGAGAAGCTGATGATCAGAGCCACAATCAGCTCCAGGTTTTGTTTTTGCTGACTATATAAATCTGGTTGCAGTATTGCCCACCTGGTGGTTTCCATGTATAGAGTCACGTCTTGTGCTGTTGGAAAACAGTGTTTGTGATGACCAGCTTATTCTCTAGACAAAACTCTATTAGTCTTTGCCCGGCCAAAATTACCCGTTGTTCCTTTTATCTATCGACTCCCTACTTGAGCATTCCAGTCCCGCATAATGAGAAGAACATCTTTCTTTGGTGCCAGTTCTAAAAAGTGTTGTAAATCTTCATAAAATTGGTCAGTTTCAGCCTCTTCAGCATGGGTGGTTGGGGCATAAACTTGGATTACTGTGCTGTTGAAAGGTCGGCCTTGGATTCATATTGAAATCATTCTATTATTTTTGAGATTTTATCCCAGTAGAGCTTTTCCCACTCTTTTGTTGGCTGTGAGGGCTACTCCATTCCTTCTACGGGATTCTTGCCCACAGTAGTGGATATGATAATTGTCTGAATTGAATTCGCCCATTCCTATCTACTTTACTTCACTGACGCCCAGGATGTCAATGTTTATTCTTGCCATCACCTGTTTGACTATATCCAGCTTACCAAGGTTTGTAGATCTTACATTCCAGGTTCCTATGCAGTATTTTTCTTTGCAGCATTGGCTTTTCCTTTCACTTCCACACGTGTCCACAGCTGAGCGTCCTTTCGGCTTTGGCCCAACCACTTCATTACCTCTGGAGCTACTTATCCCCCGCTCTTCCTCAGTAGCCTGTTGGATGCCTTCCGACCTGAGCAGTTCATCTTTCAGCATCATATCTTGTAGCCTTTTGTTTATGTTCATGGAGCTTTCTTGGCAAAGATACTGGAGTGGTTTGCCAGTTCCTGCTCCAGGTGGATCAGAACTCTCCTCTATGACCTGTCTGTCTTGGGTGTCCCTGCACGGCATAGCCCATAGCTTCTCTGAATTACTCAAGCCCCTTCACCGTGACAAAGCAACAATCCATAAAGGGTCTAACAGCTCTATCTTTGTCAATGCGAAGCTGGCTTCCCTGTGATCTTTCCAAACACCCGCCCATCAGCTGTGCTTCGGGGTGGCTCTCTCTCCCCTCCAAAGCACAGCTGATGGGCATGGGTTTGCAAAGATCGCGGGGAAGCGAGCTTTGCAAACTCCCGCTGCCGTGCACTGTCCCTCTCCCCTTGTAGGTCCAGCCTGGGCAGGGAGACCGAGGCACCGCACCGCCATGGCCAGGGTGGCAGCAGGGTGCCTCAGTTTCCCTGCCCAGGCTGGAGTTGCAAGGGGAGGGAGAGCGAGAGCCCCGAAGTACAGCTGGTTGGTGGGGGTTTGCAAAGCTGGCTTCCCCCAATCTTCGCAAACCCTGCCTACCAGCTGTGCTTTGGGGCCCGCTCTCTCCACCCCACAACACAGCTGATCGGCGGTGCCTTTGGTATGATCGTGGGGAAGCGCTTCCCCACAATCATACCAAAGGCACCGCCGATCAGCTGTGTTGTGGGGTGGAGAGAGCGGGCCCCAAAGCACAGCTGGTAGGCAGGGTTTGCGAAGATTGGGGGAAGCCAGCTTTGCAAACCCCCACCAACCAGCTGTACTTCGGGGCTCTCGCTCTCCCTCCCCTTGCAACTCCAGCCTGGGCAGGGAAACTGAGGCACCCTGCTGCCACCCTGGCCATGGCGGTGCGGTGCCTCGGTCTCCCTGCCCAGGCTGGACCTGCAAGGGGAGAGGGACAGTGCACGGCAGCGGGAGTTTGCAAAGCTCGCTTCCCCACGATCTTTGCAAACCCATGCCCATCAGCTGTGCTTTGGAGGGGAGAGAGAGCCACCCCGAAGCACAGCTGATGGGCGGGTGTTTGCAAAGATTGCAGGGAAGCCAGCTTTGCAAACCCCCACGGACTTTGGTGCTCTCTCTATCTCTCTCTCTCTCCCTCTCTCTCTCCCTCCCCCTCCCCTTGCAGGTCCAGCCTGGGCAGGGAGACCAAGGCCCTGCACGGTACTTCGGTCTCCCTGCACAGGCTAGACCTACAAGGGGAGAGAGCAAGAGAGCCCGCGGTGTTTGCGAAGCTGGCTTCCCTGTGATCTTTCCAAACACCCGCCCATCAGCTGTGCTTCGGGCTGGCTCTCTAGATGGGCGGGGGGGTTGCAAAGATCGCGGGGAAGCCAGCTTTACAAACCTCCACTGACTTCGGTGCTCTCTCTCTCTCTCTCTCTCTCTCTCTTTCTCTCTCTCTCTCTCTCTCTCTCCCCTCTCACCTCCACCCCGCGCGCGGAGTGCAAACCCCTGCCGATGAGCTGTGCTTCGGCGCTGGCTCTCTCCCCAGAGAGCGCACGCACCAAAGCACAGCTGATCGGCGGTTCCAAAATGGCCACCCGCTGTGTTGCCTCGCTTTAGAGGCACCGGCCGGATGGCGGATTTTCGCTTAAAGGTGAAATTTTTCCCCATAGGAACGCATTAAACATGTTTTAATGCGTTTCTATGGTGTTTTTGGTCTCGCATAGCGACGAATCCATATATCGACGATTTTTTTGGAACGGATTATCGTCGCTATGCCTGGCACCACTGTAATCAGGATCAAACCCAAGTTCTTTGTTTTGAGGGATTGCAGCACCTTTGGGCTGAAAGAGTTTGTCCTAATTCCCAGTGGAATTATTTTCATCACGTGGACTTTGTGATGGAAATCTGAAGGTCCTAACACTTGTCCCTTAATTGCAGACTTTAGAACCTGCTAACACATTATGATCCTATACTAGTCCTTTTGAGGCATCATGGTACATACAATGTATTTGATTTATATACGCACACAGGCCGCCATGATGCAGGAGCATCCTGCGTTTGGCTAACCTCTTTTGCAAAGCCATATTCTTCAGGGAAACTACTTTAGCCTTCAATTTTGCTTGTATTTCCATAGTGACATTCTCCAAGAGATCTATGGCTCCTGTAGTCTTATATACAAATTCTACCAAGGTGTGAATCTCTTGATAGGTTTCTGCCACCTCTACTGCTGGAAAAAGGCTCCTTCCCATTTCCAGGCCTCCAGAGAAGACCCCCCGGTGACACGTGTGGCGTGAGTAGAGTAATATGTATCTGATTTAATTCATTATTCACGAAGGGCCGTTCAGGCAGCAGAATCTGCCCAAAGTCATCTGTCATGGAGACAGTTGCAAAAAACTCATTTAATTTCTCTGCAATCTCCAAGTCACCCTTTCCCTCCCCTTTCCCTCAACATCTAGAGGGCCAGCCGCTTCTCTGGCAAGTTTCCTACTCCTAAAATATTTAAAGAAGCTTTTATTATTCCCCCTTATATTGCTGGTCATAAGTTCCACAAATTCTTTCTTTGCCTTTTTTACATTACATTTTTACATTACATTTCTTACATTTCTTTTGCCAGAATTTATGTTCCTTTCTATTTTCCTCATCTGGCAAGGATTTCCATTTATGGAAAGACCCCTCCTTTCCCATTAAGGAATCTGTAACTTTGCTTGTAACTATTCTGGCACTTTCTTTAACTTAGTTGAGCCCCCCCCTTTTTGCAGTATACACTTCCACTGGGCCTCTACTACCGTTGTTTTAAGAAGACTATGCACCCTTGAGATTTTCTTTGTAAACCCTTTCAACTTCTTTTTTACTTGCTTCCTCATCTGAGGGAGGTCCACCCTTCAGAAATCAAGGTTTGCTTGACACTCTCCCCCCAACGTGCATGGTAAAAGAGATGGCAGCATGGTCAATATTCCCTAGCAACTCATTGACATTGCCGTCCCTAACCAGGCCCTGAGTACCACATGATATTAGATCCAGAGTCACCTCTCCTGTGGTGGCTTCCATGAGAAATTGCTCCAAGTCACAGTCATTTAGCATGTCAAGAAGCACACAATGTGAAGATAATTAGAGTTTCAATAATTACAATCCTGTCCCTTTTGGACACCTCCCTGATTTTTCTCGGCATTTCAAGGTCCCCCTGAAGTTTTTGATCTGGAAGATGATAGCACACACACACACACACTATCACATTGCTCCTTCGGCCTGGCAGTTTAACCCATAGTGATTCTATGATGGAGTCAGACCCGCCATCTCCATTCTGCTGGATTCTACCCGTTCTTTGACCTAGATGGCCACCCCGCCTCCCACACGGCCCTCCTTGTCCCTCCTCTAGAGTTTATTGTTTGGGATTGCAGTATCACATTGGTTTTCTGAATCCCACCAGGTTTCAGTTATGGCCACTCTATCAGTCTTATATCTATCGCCAAATAAAAGCTAAGTTAATAAAAAAGTTAAATAAACAAAATGTTCCAGTTCTCTCAGCTTTGCTCAGATGCTTCAGGCATTTGCATAAAATCACCTGCGTATGGGGTTCCCCAAGAAGGCTAGCTTGTTTGCTTCTCCTTCTTGTGGACCAACAGTCCCATCCCATCATGCTCCCATTCCTAATTCCTACCCTATCATCATTTTGTTGTTCTCTGTCCTCTCCACCCTCATTCCACAGGGATGAGGAGTCCCGAAATGAACGCCTCTCGGCTCCTGTCGGCTATCCCCCAGGATTCAGTATAAAAGCTGATTTGCCACCTTTTAAATGTTATGCAACAGCAGTTCAGTTCCGTGTTCATTCAACTGAATGAACACGGAACTGAACAAGCCCGACTTGTCCCAAAAAATTCCTGAGTGCCAAATCAATCTAAACCCCTCCTCGTAACACCACGTCTCATCCACATGTGGAGACCCATGAGCTCCATGTGTCTGATGACACCCAGTTCTACATCTCCTTTTCTCCAATCACAGTGGATGCTGTTTGTGAAACTCCCTCTCTTTTGGGGGAGTGACTCTCACCGCGAAGAGTGAGGTTCACAGCTTGGGGGTCCATCTGGATCCGGCGCTCACCATGGAAACCCAGGTGGCGTCTGTGGTCCACTCTGCCTATTTCCATCTATGGCAGATTGCCCAGCTACTTCCTTATCTTGATGTTGGGGCGCTCACCACTCTGGTCCATGTGCTTGTAATCTCGAGATTAGACTACAGTGGTGTCTCGCATAGCGATCACTCCGTTTAGCAATGAATTCGCTTTGCCATGGATTTTTTGCCATCGCAAGAGCGATCGCTTTGTGATGGCTCCTATGAGGCAAATTTGCTTTGCGATGATCACGGGGGAGCGCTCCCCCATGATCATCGCAAAGGCCCCACTGGGTGGGCTGCTCATGGGGAGGCACTCCCCCAGGAGCAGCCCAAAGGCCTGCCCGTCAGCTGTTCCAAATGCTGGGCCTTTGGGCTGCTCCCCGAGAAGCGCTTCTCCAGGAGCAGCCCAAAGCCACAGCTGACGGATGGGCCTTTGGGCTGCTCGCGGCAAAGCGCTTCTCTGGGAGCAGCCCAAAGCCACAGCTGACGGGGGGGCCTTTGGGCTGCTCCTGGGGGAGCGCTTCCCCGTGAGCAGCGCAAAGCCCGTTTTTTGGAACAACTGATCATCGCAAAGCGAATTTTCCCCATAGGGGCCATCGCAAAGCGATCGCTCTTGTGATGGCAAAAAGTCCATCGCAAAGCGATTTCATCGCTAAACGGAGCGATCGCTATGCGAGGCACCACTGTAATGTTACTAGCAAAATAGACTGGTTCAAAGGAATGCATGTAGTCCTTAAAGTATTTAATGAGTGGAATGAAGTGCTGGTACTGTATGTATGTAATTTGTTTAATTATAGGTCTAGAGTTGGGGTGTTTGGTTGTATGAGTGAAGGGGAAGCAGAAAGGAAGATTGTTATTAATATTTCTATGGAAATTGATGTGCAGGGAAACAGATTGAGAACATATATTTTTGTAGGAAAAGCAGGGAGTGGTACTAAGTGATTAACCACAACCCTAACTATTGGTAACCATTCATGCTTAGTAGTTTCTGAGTACTGAGTGTTCCCAGCAGCCCTCCTCCCGGCGGCGGTGGGGAGCCGGGGGGTGAGAGGGTGGCTGGGGGAGAGCCGGGAAGCAGGGCTGGTCTGGGTGTTCCGGGCGGCCCTCCTCCCGCCGCCGCTGGAGATGGGGGTGAGGAGTGGCTGGGGGAGAGCCAGGAGGCAGGACAAGGCCCTGGTGTTCCAGTGGCCCTCCTCCTGAGCCCTCGCTCGCCCGGCGCCCAAGGACACCCGGTGTCTCCCGGGC